TCATTCGCCTTAGATGTCGTTTTGGATCAAATGTTATATCCTAGCAATACGCCGTTTCCAAGCCAATGCCCCTTTAAAACATCTCCAACCCAACACCAAACCTAATTTTTGGTGAAAAAGTTTCTCCAACCAACACTATTTCCAACACCAAAGGTGTAAACCCATTTTCTATACCAAATATTGTGTAAAAAATGGGTTTACAACATTTTGGTGTTGAATTTTTTTATTTATAAAAAGGTCATTCAAATTTTAATCAACTTTAAAATTACTGAAAAACATATACAAATTGTGATGGTTAAACCAAAATCTAATATGTTTGATAATAATTAAACAAAAACTTAACATATTTTGCTATTTTATATGTTACAATGTATTTCTTTTATCTAATAAATGTTAAATTTAAATTATTTCATAATTATTTAAACTTAAAAAAATAAGTGGGATTGATTTGTTAAAGAACTGAAAAAGAAAATATATTAAGAATATTCTGTTTTGGTGTAAAAATTGGTGTAAACCATTGTAAAAAAATTCAATACCATTTTGATGTTACATCATTTTTTGTGTAAAAAAATGGTGTAAACCATTGGAGATACTTTTAGGACCAAACGTCCCAGACATCTCTTTTAATCAGATGTACCAAATGCAAAACTACAACTTCAGATAACAAAACTTCTCATTCGCCTCATATGTCTTTTCGGACCAAATATCATATCTATGTCATATGCCCCTTCTGATCCAGATGTCTCTTTAAGACCAAACATCGCTTTGGGCCAAATGTCCCTATAGAACCATACACCTTTTGTGCCTGATGTTCCATGGGTCAAATATCTTTTTCGGCTTAGATGCCCTCTTTAGGTCACATAACCTTTTTGGATTAAATTCTCTCTTCAAGCCAGATGCCCCCATTGGGGGTGATATGCCATTTCTATGCTAAATGTCTTTTTGGGTTCAAATGCTCTCTCCAGGCCAAATGCCTTCTCCAATCCATATGTCTTATTAGGGTCAGACGTCCTTTTCAGATTTTATGGTTGAGTTTTTAGTGGTGTAGGTTCTGGGTGATCAGCTTTTGTATTTTGTTGTTGATTTTCTTTGATTTGCTGGAAATCATTGTTTTCCGATCAATATGCACCTCTACATGCTTGTCAAAGCTACCAACCTCTGTTGTAGTTTTGC